GGAATGACACTGAGCACATTAGCATCATCCTGGCTGGATTATTTGGTTGTTGTTGCTCCTGTCCAACACCACAAGTGTCAGAAACAACAACAACAACATTAATGGAAAACGCTTCTGGTCTGTAAATAAAACTGAACTGCAAGGAGATAACACAGGGGAAGCTTCCTTAAACTGAGTATGAATGTAGCATATACTCAAGGTGTTGTTCTTCAAAGGTCTTGGTTGAGTACTGGGGGCTGGGGATGTTGTTGCTGTTGCTGTCCAACACAAGTGGTGTCGGAAACAACAACATCATGACCAGAAAACACTTGCAGTCAATAAATAATACTGGAGCTACATCATGGAGATAAGGCTGGTGAATCTTGAAAAGTGTGGTGTAGCATATACTCCAGGTATTGTTATTCAAAGGATAGGTCCTGGTTGAATACTGGGGACTGCAGTTGTTGTTGTTGTTGTTTTCCAACACTGATGTCAGAAACAACAACATCTTGACCAGAAAACACTTCCAGTCCGTAAATAATACTGGAACTGTATGGACATAAGACTGGGGAATCTTCTTTAGACTGAGTATGTATGTAGCATATAAGTCAGGCATTGTTCTTCAAACGTCTTGGTTGARTACTGGAGCTGGGGTTGTTGTTGTTGCTGTCCAACGCAAATGTTGGAAACAACCACATCATGMCTGGAAAACACTGATGGGGCTTCCAGTCTGTAAATTATACTGGAATTGCATGGAGATAAGGCTGGTGAATCTTCTTTAAAATTGAGTATGATACAGCATATACTCCAGGCTTTGTTCTTCAAAGGTCTTGAGTGAATACTGGAGGCTSGGGTGTTGCTGTCCAASRTGAATGCTGGAAACAACAACATTGTAACTGGAAAGCACTGCTTCCAGTCTGTAAGCACTGGGGATGGATCCAGCTGAGGCAAGTTGCACTCTGCTGGGGACAGGGGAATGATATTATATTAAAAGTCTTTGTTAGATTGCTTGAATGGAGGCCAGGGAGGTGGGTTTTCCCCTTTGGAARGGGATGTCACCATGGTGGGTTCAGATGCCAGAAGGTGCTGGTCTGGTATGTACTATGCAGGAATCAGTAGGAAATCTACTAGGTGATAATTTTCAGAACCGAAGTGTAAGTTCGTGCATTTGAAAAAAWTYGTTTTGAAARTTATGTTGCTGGGAGGTTTCTATTAACTCCTATCTTTTGCTGTTCTCTCATTCCTTACCTTAGAAGACCAGTTGCCTCTTCCAAGACCAAACCATTCATACTT